TATATATAAATTATATTTTATTTATATAATTAATTATTATAATATAATTATTATAATATTATAATAATTTATTTATATCTATAATTAACATAATATAATAATTTAGTATTATATTTCAATAATAAATTAGTATTATATTTTAGAACTAGTATTGTATTTAAAGTATTATAAAATATTATATATCATGTCATCGTCGTCCTTCATTTAACATCTTCAAATAAAAACAACTTCAAAAACTAATATTAAAAAGAAAATAAAAACAGGAAAAATGTGATATATAAAACGACAACGTGTAGTAGTAGTAGTAGTAGTTATTGGTATTATAGTAATATATTGACATTATTTATCCGTTCCATAAACTTAAGTTTACATGAAAGGTTTCTATTAAATTTCATTTAAAAAAATGATCAATAATTATCATTTTTCAATCACACATTTTGATCTACTTTAAAAACCTTCTTATTTATTATAGTAATGCAATAAATAATAATAACGATACGCATCATTGACTTTTATCATTAACATTTTAAAAAGCTGTTTTACATTTTTTTTCTCATTCATTATTATTTACTACGATATACTCAAATTCGTTTTGTTTCATTTCGCAAAACGAATGTTGGTATACATATATATATATTTATAATACAGATTTATATTAGATAATTTTGTGTCTAGTCAGCTAGTACAACATTCTTTAATTGATGGTATCGAAACTAGTTTGATAGGTAATTATACGTCTCTTGAATATGTATAAAATTATTGAAAAATAATATCTATACTAGAATGAGAAAGTAAATAAATAAATATATATATATGTGTATATATATATATTTATGTTGACTTTAGTAGATTAGTGTGAAAATAACTTTATATAAATGTCATGTCTCTTAGTTCAGTATTTATAATTTCATCGTTTTTACGTTAAATAACGTTATTTATTTGAGTTAAATTTATAATCGTAGAAATATTAATTCACTTGAAAATGAATCAAGATTATACGATATACGTATAAAATGACGTAAGGAAAAATTTCTCATCGAATAGTAGAAGAATATTTTGCTTAGAATTCAATTAGATTAAAATCGATCATTTTGTCTTTTTTTTTCTTTTTACTTTTTATCAGACCAGAATATCGTACAAGTTGGGATATATCTTTTTCGTTGTAAAGAAAAAAGTTATAGTTCGTTCAAAAGTTAGTTGGTGGAAATATCATTCGACGATGTGTGTGTTTCCCTGAATAAAAAGGGGTTGAAAGTTTTCGCAATAATGTTTGCGTGTCTAGTAACACGACGTTTACACGCACATATATCTATATATATGTATAGGTATATGTATGTATGTATATTGAAGATTGCAATAATTTTGCATACTAGGTACAATATCTTATTGGCCTGTGTAACCGTCACATGTGTTAATGTTTGCGGTATATTTGAACTTCTATCGTGATAGGGGAGAGATAGATATTTTATTATTATTTTTATTTTTTTTTTTTTTTACGTTTTTATATTCTAAAAGCATCAAACCGGTGACATATGGTATATGTCACATGGAATGATCCAACAAACAGGACATCCTGAAGACTTACGCACAAAGTACAATATTTTTCTTTTTCTATTTTTGCTATGTTTTGACTTTAATACAATATATATATATATACTTTGAAAATAACTATGGGAATGAAGTATGGGGAAAAATATAGTTACATTAAATATCGTTTCAAGTATCTAATCTTTTTTATGAAAATTATTATTTTTTCATGGATATAGATTTAATACGTTTTAACGTATCATTTATATATAATATATTATATTATATTTTAATATATATATATATTATTATTATTATTATTATTATTATATAAGATAATTATATTAAAATAAATTATAATAT